AAGTAATGAGAAGTATAGTGCTTATGCGAAATAAGGAAGTATGCGAATACTTGAGTTATATTGTGCTGATATTTATTTGGATGTTTGCAGTCAACTCTTGACCAGTCAACCCAAATTGTTGCAAGCCTTTTTTGTTTAATTTTATTTAAGACCTACCCTAGTATTTAAATATTTTTTGTGATGGAAAATAAAGTGTTCGACAAATCTCATAATTACGGCGTGAAATGGTTGATTATTGGAGATTTTGACTCGTTGCTAGGAATGGTCATTCGGATCCTTGGAAATATATATTTAATCCCATTTTGTTGGGAAATAATAAATGCAAACGTTGACCGGGATCAAATACTAAAGACTTGGTCAACACAAACTGAGAAATAGAAACATGTCTACACGATTCCAGGACAGAAGTAAAAATATATAAACCAGTGAGAAAAATTCAAGGAAAACTAAAAATACTTCTAAATAAAACACTTTGGGTGGATGTATAGAATATTTATTGTATTAAATGGACTATTAACTAATGAAGATTTGGTTTGAAGTCCTGATCATAAGTCAGAAAAATCCGAAGACACACCGTATTCTTTATCTACACAGTCAGACACTTTATCTTGTAGCAACCAAAAGTAGGCGGCTGGTAGGACAAAAATATCGAGATAATTCAGATTTGCCTATTCCTTTATTTTAAGATATGCCCTATTCCGCTCTACTGAATGATGAAACTTCACATTTATTTGACTGATATCGACTGGCCATACATATCTCACGCTGATTTAATAAATCATAGTCGGCTTCTATACGCATGCAATATTACATGGGTGCCCTTTCAGTTAACGTTTGCCCATCTATTTATCTTTGAAACTAACTAGTCAAACATGGTCAACATATCAGATTCACAAGACGATATCTTTGAGCCTCCTACAACCTACGGATGTCAAAAGAGTAGAACCGCTCGACACGGAATCGATTATAACAACCGCAAGCCACGATGCTTGAGTAGAAACTGTATGATTTGTACTGAATCACTAGAAATGTTCTACAGTTAATGATAGTAATAAGAATATTGTTTCTTTGTTAAGTATCCCCTATAACACCGTTTGTAAAACAGCAGATGATAACAAACTTAGCTTAAAGTTTCGATACATCTAAACAACTGACTAGCACTGACACAGCGGCTTCGTTTACGGTCTACATAACGGTTTATCTGTCTAGATAGCTACTTGTGCTTTAGTCTCATTCAATAACTCTAATAACTTATGAAGATTCGATACAGGTTGAGTAGGCGACACACCGGAAGGTCTCGACAAATTGCAGCACAATAAAGACTAGACCTGTCTAGAGCAATTTAGAGTTTCTCAACACAGTATAACGCCGGAGAAGTATATTCTCCACAAAATTACTAGACATTCCAATGAGTATGAAAACTATTATAAAACAGTGTCTGGTGAAGTTAGTTTCAGTGTTGCTACATATGTCATTTACAAGAGGACTTCTGTGGCAGGGCCTTTAAAATGTGATTACTGTAGCTATATCATACAGTAAACTGAATCATTTCTATGTTAGACGATAGGAAGCTGAAATTTGGACAGTTTATCGAAGCTCATTAAAGTAATTAACGGGGACTAGTGAAACGTGAATAGAAGCACGAGGCCGTGGATCTGCCGTATACGTCTCTGACTCTCTGTGGTGTTTGAATGGACTAATGATACCTTTGTACTGGTTGAATGCTCGATTTCGAATTCTAAATACAGTACATTCGTTGTGCCTGTGTCTTCTTAATTCAATTGCGTTAATCCTGGAATTCCTAATTCATACGATAATTAGAATACTATATTGGCGTCGCGATGGAGCCTGCAATGGAAAAGTTAGATATTCATTCAACTTCGGAAGCTTTTGAAGATTACTTTGAAAGGTTCGAAATCTAGGCTATGACCAAGGAAGATGATGAGGATGTTAATATTGTGGCACACTTCCTCACATTCATTGGAAAAGAAACATACAGCTTATTAAGAACTCTGGCTATGCCAGAAAAGCCCATTTCGCTTTCTTATACAGCTCTCAAGGATCTACTGCTAGACTATGCTCAGTATACAAATTTCGAATGTCGTAAAGGAGGAAGATTTCGTAAAATGATTCATGAGGATACAAAAAAGTCCACTACATTACTACGTCATCCCAACCCAGTGCATACTCAAGGTTATGCAGACAATTCATTGAGTTTGGATGCAGTTCACGAGGATGGGGATAAGTTTGGTCAGTGTTTGTCCTGTTGCAAGTTCCACTCTTCTAATTCATGTAAATTTCGTAATTCTATGTGCTTCAAATGTCGTGATATTGGACAAGTTCAGTCAGTTTGTAATGCTAATGTTCATCTTACTGCAACTAATATTAAGTCTTGTAATTCTGATTCTACTGAGTCGAGTATTCATGATGATCATTTATCTTTATCAACGATTTCAAAAGACAGTGCAGAGTCATATGGCAGTTCAGAGTTAAATGAAATCCAGAATTCTTGTGAGACAACAGTTCCTAATCAACCTATTTATCAGAATTCTCATGCTATTGTACCAGGTATGACTTTTCCTAATGATTCACATATTTCTAATGTAATTACTTGCAATATTGAGGAAAATATGTTAAATGAACCTAATCATGATCGAAAACCTGATGTAGTTTGGATAGATGCTGATTTTTCTAACGATCCTACGCTCTGCAATGACAGTCCTAATGAATTTCATGAGAATATTTCAAAAGAATCAAATCCTGATGTCATATCATATATTACCTCTCCTCATAATGCATTCGATCCTTGTGAAAAACCTGCTCAATGCGAAGCACGAGTACTAAGTGACCTCGAGTTTGATTACATTTCGGATGATTTCATATCAACTGCTGTTTACCCTTATCACAAAAACAGTTCTACTGTTTACTCTAAACAATGTGAGAAATATGTTTTAAATGAAGCCACATCATTCATAACATGGGGATATAAAGATCCAACATTATTTCGTGGGGGAGGACAGTGTTGAAAAATCTATGGTTTGAACTCCAGATATTAATGATTTCAGTACAAAACCGACATGCTGGTTGTATACAATCCCAGATAAGTCTGTTCCGATTTCGTTTGTCAATTCCAATACTAATGAGCACTTTCTAGATATTACAAAGTTTTTATCTTATACAATGTCAGACAGACTCAGGATGAACTTAACAAGAAGACGTACAACCGATTACAAACACTTATACTTCTATTTAAGCTGTGGCGGATGTGGTGTTTGAATGAACTAATGATACCTTTGTACTGGTTGAATGCTCGATTTCGAATTCTAAATACAGTACATTCGTTGTGCCTGTGTCTTCTTAATTCAATTGCGTTAATCCTGGAATTCCTAATTCATACGATAATTCGAATACTATACTCTCCTCTAAAATACACTCATTTAGCAAGATCATATTTGTTTTACAGATGTGATTTTGAATAAGGTTAAGAAGTCGCAACATTTCCGTTCAACTTGAGCATATCCTGACCGTTCACTTAGGTGATACACATTGACACTAACACATAACTACTATAACAACCTAGTTGTTTCTATTCAGCCTTACTATTCCACGATTTTTATTACTTCTATACAAGACGATTAATTCGGTCATTCAGATAAATATTCAGAAATTTGCTTCCTTTTGATTTTTTACTTAATCAGTTGGTCATAAAAACTAAGAATCGTCCAACTATAATATAAATCGTTCGAGAAGATAACAAAAGATTCTTTTCACTTGTTTTACTTATTTTGCAGATTCGGACAAAATAGTTCTGGGTTGATCTATCTACGGCTCCAAGCAAATATTACATAACTTTTTTTCTAATCTACTGTATTCTGTGCTTAATAGTTACCTATATCAGTATCTTTAGATCGTATCGTATGGTGAATATTGAGACTTCACGGGTATCGGAATAACTTCTTTTCTTGAGATGATTCCTCTGGGCCACTTCACTGCTTTATTTTTTCAACTTTTTCCCTTCTGTTGAAGTGGAAGTTAAATACGAATTATCCATCTAAAATTTTTAGCAAGCTATCCATGCTCCACAAAATTATGACGGTTTTAAGGTTGATCTAACAATTGTTTAAGTTTATTTTTACAGTTATGCATGAAAACCTATAATAGCTTGAATGACATTGATTTAAAGATGTTACAGGTATTCGGAGTTTGCCTTTACATGTAACACTTAGAATCAGAGATTCTTTAGACCTTCTAATCCAATTTGTCTCATCACTAGCTAAACTGAGAATACATCTTATAGTTTTCTGAAATCTTCTTGATGCACTTATTATAAGTTATCAGACATATAATGGAGATGAAGTACAAGTTATTATTTCATACAAATACCACACAACACTATCCAACATGTTCACTGTGAGGTTATCTACATGACTGGTTACATGGTTTCATTCATTATGTTCATGGATTATGAAGTATAAGTGTTTAACTAATTATAACTTCCATAATTTATTTGTATTCCACCTTCGTCTTGAGAATTGCTTTTAACAGTCAGTCAGAACTTTTTTTTGCTCTGTGGCTTTTGGGAGTCTGAACTTTCACCATATAACATAATATCAATTCCACCTGAAGATTATTTAATTCCCTGAGCAGAGTTTGACAGAGTTAACTTATTTTTTGGCCAGAAATATCATAAACGATTACTTTTTCGTGAAGTAGGTTTGATCTATCTATACCCAACCCTTCTTTTTAACCTGGGTTTTTAGACTGGTGATGACCATGGAGAGGTTCCACGCTTGACTACAACAAAGCGGTGGAACAGCAGACATAAATAAACATTTAACAATCTCATTCCATGTTGGATTTAAAAATTTGTCTCACATATGTTATTCTATTACTGAAATAGTGGAAGCTATACGTATTGAACACTAGTCGGCGTTAGTTCTGTCTACACTGTGAAAGCGGTATATATGAAGTGGTAATTTGCTAACTTGCAATTTTCGAGAATGTTTTACAAACCGGAAGAAATTGAGGCTGTCAATGTACCAAATATACAGAATCTGTTACATTTAGATCCCTGGTTAGAACCTTTCAAATATGAGATCAAACGCAGGTAAATTTTGTTTCATTTCACTTTATTCGTTTTAGATATAAATGCTTTTTAGACCATATGAAGTGGATAAATGATGTTTCTGGTTTGGAAGAATTTACTCAGGGTTACAAGGAATTCGGGGTTCATGTACGTAATGACGGATCAATATACTGCAAAGAATGGGCTCCTGGGGCGAAAGAATTGTATTTGAGAGGAGATTTTAGTGAGTTACAAATTGCTGTCATAGCTTTTAGATGATTGGCAGGAATTTACTCATCCTTTCAAAAATGTGGGTTTTGGGAAATGGGAGTTAACAATACCATCTGCTAATAGTTCACCTGTGATAAAACATCTTTCGAAAATCAAGGTATAAATCACTTATTGTTTTTCTTATCGTGTAGCTTTTGGTGGTCGCTCAAGATGGCCGCCGACTGGATAGATTGAGTCCATGGGCTCCGTATGTTAAATGCTTTGAAGGGAATATCATTTATGACCAATTATTGTACAATCCTTCTGAGGTTGTTCATATTTCTGTAAATCTTTATTAATAGAGATACCAACTTAAATATCCACATCCTCCACGGCCTAAAAGCCTTCGGATTTACGAGTGTCACATTGGCATTTCGTCATCTGAACCGGTTGTCGCATCTTATACTCATTTCAAGGACAATATCCTGCCTCGAATTAAAGATCTAGGTATGATTAATTTGCAGTTGTTTCATGACCGATTCACTTATGCCTATTTAGCCAACAGCTTTTCTATAAATCTACTAGGCTCCCAGTTGCTTTTAGCGTGAATTCAGTACTTGATTGTTAATCTGTACAGTCACCAAACTTTCGGAAAATATGCGTGTTTGTTGGGCAGCAACAAACCTAGTAGTCGGTTGACTGTCGTGACAGATTTATTCCACTATTAACTAATCTGAAGGTGAAACATCCCATCGGCTTCGAGAATTAGTCATTGTGTTGTTCGTACTCATCTTTTGTCTATATTTCGATCCGTAGACATATGCATTCGTAAGCGTAAGTCGTTTATCTATAGATTAATGGATACATCATTCCTCTCTTTGTGTGAGTATTTTGTCTGCTTCGATGGTAACGAAGTCACCAGTTCACTTTCTCTTAAATGCTTAGGATGTAGTTCCCACGGTATATCTGTTTTATTTTTGGGGACATGATATTTAGGTAACCATGTATGTGCATAGTTGTCTGAAAGACTTCTTAAAACATTGGTTTTTTTGTAGGTTATAACGCGATTCAGATAATGGCGCTAATGGAACATGCTTATTATGCTTCGTTCGGATACCAGGTGACTAGCTTCTTTGCTGCCTCAAGGTAAATTATGTGGTTATCGTCAAATATCTTAAATTTTATATCTGGTTTGGTAACATTTGGTTTAATTATTACTGAAAGGTTGTCCATTTCGCATATCGTCATGATTCTCCCAGTCACTGGTCCAGTTTTTATCATGGTCTTAGTTTTATTAATCAGTATTGTATATGTTGTGCGATACTCTGTATGGTGTTTTCTTGTAGTTTCTAAATGAATCTGTCCTCGAATTATGGGTTCTTGTTGGCAGTTAGACTACTAGAGCTAGTAATTATAACGTAAATGTCTGATGCAACAAGGAAAATCAAGTGCTTTATTTTTCATAGATATTCTTGATAACTCTCTTTTGTACAAATAATCTGACAATCTAAACATAATATATTCTCAAGTTTCCATTCACACATTTGATAGAAATTTTTTTCTCAACTTTTCTCCCGAACAGATGTAATTTACTTACTGGGTCAATGAGTAATAAGTGTGCATTCGAAATTTCTACTTGTGGGTTAACTTTTCTCGACTATTTTTTAAAACACATTTGGGTCACTATACATGAACTGAAGGTCATTCAAATGGACTCTTTAACTAGAAACTGCTTTTACTGGGGTTGTATATTTATTTAAACACAGATATCGGTACTAGAAGGCACCAAATAGATATGTACCATACAAATCGAACGATTTATGTGAAGGCTGAGATACTGTCCGGGTGCCCAAACCGAAGCAGGTGGTTTCCATATGGGACAGCACTCGAAGCCTTTGACTTCAAGGTCTAATCGACAAGACAGTGGCGCAACTTGAGGAGATGCAATCCCATAATAGCCGGTGACCAACATTAGGTTCTTACACCATTCGCTTCCTTAGGAACCTTGAGTTCATGTTCACCATTGGTTTGGAATCACGGTTTCTCAACTCCCCTAGGTAGATCCTCCGTAACCACCAACCCGGTCAGAGCGCAGAACCTTTGATCTTCGTCCTCTCAAATTCGTAAACAACACCCCCACTGCGAAAAGGCAGTGAATAGGACTTCCCTGGTAGGGGGGTTATATGGCTTTAAGACTTACTAGCATTTAAAATAGTAGTACTTTTTTAACGTTCAATCCAACCAAGTCTTACATTGTTTATGAATAATTAACTGGGAATTGTTTCATCGTAATTCACTAGTTAACTCAAGAAAATAGAGCTTTTAACTTGAATTTAGTCATTTTAGTTGTTTTAATTACATTATCATGTCAATAGACTTATGAAGCTTCAAGATTATTTACTCAAACTACATGTTGCAAACGTCTATTATCAAGAGTTATCCCTACCTAATATATTGTTTGTTGTCTGGACTTTTTTGGTTATATTCCATTTTACATTGTTCACTATTATTATATAGTACTTCCGTTTTAATCTTCCATTAATCTAAAGTCCTCATACTTCATGTATTTCTCATGTATCTTAATCGCTTTTGCATCTGGATAGTGTCCTCAACGCTTAATGTTTAGACCAACCTAATTCATTTGATTATACTTTGTTTTAATAGTTAGGAACATGTATGGTAAGATATGTTGTGATAAAGGAATTGATGCATTGTTATCAGGTTATGACGCCTACGTCATTGTTATAATTTTTACGGGATGATAACTTAATCGAACCAACGTCACTGCAATTACATTATTATTCTCAGGTCATGCGTTTTAATTTGTACTGCTGTATTTAGTGTCCTGCTTCCTATATATATTCGTTAACCGGAATAAATTGAGGATGTATGCAATACATGGTAAACGTCTGGAAACTTGTTCGAGAATAAGTGGGACGGTACAGGGAACTATCACGATTGTGTAGTTATGTATCTGATCAATCTCCATCGAACACTTGACACTACTACTGAGTGTTTTAGCAGATCACCTATTTTAACTATACGAGTGATCATTGCAGTCTGTAATTGACTTTTATAATTCATAAAGCAATCGAAGTGTAGTTACTTCCAAGCTTGTGGTTACAGTGATATCACAATATTTCAAAAAATAATATTTTCTTCATAATTATTTATATTTGTGTTCGAACTAAAGCCCATTACGAAGCGCGGAGTACTCTTGGGGAGTCATTCTCCGAGCCTCCTGTCTTAGATCTAGTCCACAAGGCGGCAGAAAAGTGTCAGGAAATGTCCCGAAGGAGCGGTTACCGAAATAGGTTCGTACACCGCTAGATAAATTAGAGCTCATCGACACGAAGGATTTCCTAGCTCCTCTAGGTAAATCCACTGTATTCAATAAATTACTTCAAGCGCAGAACATCAGTTTTCTCATTGTCATAAAAATTCATTTGCCACATAAAGACAGTAAATAGAACTTTTCTAGCAAAGGCTATAAACATGTGGACGTACGAAAACATTTCAAGAAGTAGATCGGACTCTCCATCCCTAGCCATACTGCATTCGGTGGCAAGTCAGAAACATAGGGATACGCTGTCGTATTAAGGTTATATATTATTTTACCAAACATATAGAAGCTTTCAACCCAGTATATTCCTAAAATGTATGTCTGAAAATACTCCATTCTCTGAAATTAATCTACCTTAATACGAAGTTTTACCATATTATGGTCATTACTTAGCATGTTAATCTAGAATTAAAGGGAAGTCAAACTAAAGCTGATAAGTAAATGTTCATTTTATCTAAGCGAATATGACCTATTTTCGTATTAGCTGTATTAAAATGTCACTAAAATAATAACATGCATTTCACATCCAGTTTTTTCGTCGTATATGAAACTGACCTTTTTAACCTTTCATTTTTGATCAATTTCTTGAGAACCTATATGTTACTTCTTTTGTGTCAATAAAATTATGACTAAACGACTGAAATTATTATAAAAGCTAGATTTTAATGCTCTAAATAGTAGCCAAGATGACTACGCCCATGGAACGCTAGTAAGCAGTTTCAGTATTTCTATGTTTAGTGAAATATAGATCTCCTATCGAAGCACTCATTTGATACTTGAAAGTGGTAACTTTAATTTACCTGGTAGGTATACATTCATATAAAAATCATGCATAGTACTGTTCTTAAATGTCTTTTAATGATATAAAAAAGGAGAATAACTACATAGTTTTACTCAGAATTTTTCAACTTCGTCCTGCGTTTTGCCTCCACGTAATGGAGTGCACCCTACTGACATCATTTTTTTAGAACTACTGTCGCAGCTGTCAGAAAGACGCAAATAAGTTGAACAAACTCCACTGTTATCACATAGTTCCTTTTGGTCGATTTCTTGTGCATTGTACTGGTTTGTTCAAGCCCCATAGTTCTCGATTTATAAACTATATTCATATTATTTATAAAGCTTAATCGTTCCAAACACTTCAGTACTTATGGAAAATTAATTGTATAAATCACGTTTTATTTGTGTGGAATTCATGTTACACTTCGTTAACTTCTCCCGATTAATTATTTCCATCCCTAATTTTTCAGTCGCTTTGGAACTCCAGAGGAGCTACGCGCCATGGTTGATGAAGCACACCGACTGGGCATTGTAGTTCTCCTAGATGTTGTTCATAGTCATGCCTCTAAGAATACAAATGATGGCCTCAACCAGTTTGATGGCACAAATGCTTGTTACTTCCATGATCTAGGCCGTGGAACTCATGAATTATGGGATTCTCGTCTATTCAATTATACAGAGTAATATTTCTATGTCTTTTGTTTTTGTGCATATTTTGATTATTTGAAATTTTATGTATAAGATTCAGTTTTGAGTATTTGATAGTCATGTTTATTGTTGTTACTTGCCATTGATTTGGTTGCCGAATAAAATTTTATCTATACGACAAATGATAGCGTCTGTTTCTGTATTGGATGTTTTTTAAAAACATCTAACACATGTTATTTATTTATTTTAACACATAGGTATCGGTACAAGGAGGCACCAAATGCATATGCGCCACACAAATCTCATTTGATATTTGTGAGGGCTGTGATACTGCCCGGGTGCCCAAACCAAAACAGGTGGTTTTCTTAGGGGGCCACACCTGGAGCCTTCGACCTAAAGGTCTGATCCACAAGGCAGTGGAGCATCGTAAGGAGATGCAGTCCCATGGCAGCCGGTGACCAATAATTAGTTCATACGCCATTTGTTCCCTCAGGATACTGGAGCTAATGTGCACCATTGGTTTCGAATCAGGGTTTTCCAATCCCCTAGGAGAACTCTCCGTTCCCGTCAACCCGATTAAAGCGTCGGACATTTTCTTTTCGTCCTCTCAATTTCGTAAACAACACGCCCGCCACGAGAAGGCAGTGGGTAGGACTTCCCTGGCAGAGGCTATATACGCGTGGCCATGTGAGAGCATTTTGAGAGGAAAAGCGGACTCTCCCCACTCTCGGCCGTACCAGGGCATTTGGGGGTACATGTTGCTAGATAACTTGTGAGGTATTAGTTTATAACAGCTCTTTTCTTCTTGCATATTATTTGCTACCCTTTAATGTATGATAGCTTAATGCAGAAACATTTAACACCCTTACATATTGGTTTTGATGCACATCCCGTACATTATTGGTTTAGCTAGGACAAAATCAGCCATTACCAGTAAAACTAAATTAGAATGAATGTTTTTCTTTTAAAATCATTTATTGAATTGTTCCGTTAGCCGTATTACTTCGTGACAAATAATGTTGTAAGTCTCGAGGATTTGTTTGAAAAATGCAATATACTGATTGGAGTGTGGAAAATTTTTTCCATTTTCCGAAGTTACCCAATAGGCACTCACTGATTCATTTTAAATTTTTACAGGTTAGAAGTACTACGCTTCCTTATGTCAAATTTACGTTGGTGGATTGAAGAGTACGGTTTTGATGGTTTCCGTTTTGATGGGGTTATGTCTATGCTGTATCATCATCATGGTTTGATGACCAACTTTTCCGGTCATTATGGGGAATATTTTGGTCTATCCGTAGACACAGAATCATTTACTTATTTAATGTTAGCTAACCATTTTCTACACGAAAAGTATCCATTTATTATTACGATTGCAGAAGTAAGAAGTTCATACTTAACTTTTATTATTCATTTTTTCATATTTACCTTATATGGATATCTCGATCAATAACTTCTTTCAGTTATTTTGGTGGATTACAGCTTACTACTCAAAAATAGGGTATTCACTAAAATGTACCTGTACAAAGCTTTTCCAATCAATAGTTGAGGTTTTATTTAATTTGCCACCTAAGTCCTATCGTTTGATAATTACATACATATATTATTTATTTAATCTAATAATGATGTAAAATTGATTTGATTTTCATTTGAAAGGAGGTTAGCGGCATGCCTACTCTGTGTCGTCCAGTTTCCGAAGGTGGCGGTGGATTCGACTATCGATTAGCTATGGCTATTCCCGATAAATGGATTGAGGTAAATCCTTTACAAATGATCTATTTCGCCCTGATATTGCTTCCCAGTTATCTTTAGATTTCACTAGATATTTTACTTATGTAATTTTAACCTCACTGTCATAAGTCCCTTTTTATCCATGTCTGTACATATGTGAAATTGTCATATTAGACACATTATGTAAGGGTTGTGGAATTGTTGAATTAAGTCAGTGAATTGATTGTATATTGAGTTCACATTCATTTTTCACACACTGTACTTTACGATACTAAATGGTATCATCTTTTCATGGTAAGCAGTGTAATTGGCGGAATTAGTTGACACTTCTGGGAAACCAGTTATTTACAATATAGTAAAATGTGATTCCTGATGGTTTCGATCTTTACAAATTCATTAGAGCCTAAGTAAATAACTCTTCTACATCGATATTGGTCTGCGACGTTTGTTTTAGGTTCAGAGTCGTGGTTCAACGTTTCAGTAGCCGACCTTCAAACAGTAGCTTCCAAGTTTGAACTTCATCCTATTAACGTTTTAGACCGCATGAAAAAATCTCTAGTCCTAAAACTATGAGTAGTACGTAAGTCTATAATAAGTTGGATTAACTTTTTGAAATCTTTGTTTTATCATAAATAACCAGCTCTAGTGATTTTTATTTTCATATTTAGCTTCTAAAGAAATATAAAGATGAAGATTGGAACATGGGTAATCTCGTCCATACATTGACTAATCGACGTTATGGTGAACCGAATATCGCATACGCGGAATGCCATGATCAAGCTTTGGTTGGTGATAAGACATTATCCTTTTGGCTTATGGACAAAGAAATGTACTTCAGTATGAGCACTTTAAGCCCTCCAAATTTAATTATCGACCGTGGTATTGCATTACACAAGTTAATACGTTTTATAACACACACCTTAGGTGGCGAAGGTTATCTCAACTTTATGGGTAAGTGATCTTATTGATGATGGGTGTGTATATATGGTCAGTCGATCAGTCAAACTCAACGTAGAACCGAGTACGTGTGTACATAGGTTCAAGTTGTTGCATCTCATTAACACAGCGAGATAAAATTGTTAGGGCGAATTCCGCTGTAGTAGAGGTAGTAACAGTAATAGTCATAATAGGCAAGATTATTCATTGGAGATGTCATTCAAAAAAATATAAATTAGTAAAAAAATTATAAGAAATTTAGGATCTAATAGAAGTCAGAATGGATGAATCTGTACTGTTGCAAACGATTTTGAGCCACGTGTATATGCAAGAAAACCTCTTTCCAGTTAGTAGGGGATCTGATTATCTGTCAAAGCGTCTACAGATTTTTACCTAAAATAACGGAAAGAAAATGTGGTTTATAAACTAACCCACTATCGCTTTATGTGTTAGGGTAGTGTTTAAAATCACAAATCCCCTGATCGAAATTATCCTGCAGTCATCATACCTATAAGTAAATTTGTAGATATGATACTTGTGTTTATATGATTTTGTAGGAGGTTACATACCCCAATTTCATCTCAATTTTCTTACATTTCTACCTGATTAGTGAAACTAGACCATCAATACAAGTTTTTAATTTGTTAAATGTCTGTCTTATGAAATATTTTTAAAATAAACCAAATAAATTTTTATCCAATCTTAAATTAAGTTATTTGATGTAGTAAAATTTTTTTCTAATAACTATTAAAAACAGAGGAAGTCTAGCCTACCATGTGCTTGACCATATTATTCCTATTTCACTTGAAGTCAATGTCAATTTGTGTAAGTAACTATTGATACAATAGCAACTTAGATTATTGCATATTTTTACCAGGCTTTTCTTTGAGTATAACTGACCAATGCCATAGCAAAGATTGGTAGTTAGAGATCGTACGTCTGTCTGGCGTTCATTTCGAAAGTGTGATTATATACATTCTTAGCAGCGACAGCAGATAAAGCTGCAAGAAAAGGAAATATGAAACAACTATATGACAACGAAAAAACTACAGGGAAATATAGTAAACCAGAGAGACCGGTCAAGGACAAAAAAGGTAAGCCAGTAACTAGGATTCAAGAACAGAGGAACAGATGGGAAGAACACTGACGAACTCTTGAATAGGTCAGCCCCATTGAATCCACTAGACATTGAGGCAGCACACACAGACCTTCCTATAGATGTCACTACATCAACGATCGAAGGAATCAAGATAGCTATCAGACAAATCAAGACTGCAAAAGTAACAGGACCTGACAGCATACCAGCTGAAGCACTGAAATCAGACATAGAGGTAACTGCAAAGATGCTTCACACCCCATTCAGGAAGATTTGGGAGGGAGAACAAGTGCCGACTGATTGGATAGAAAGATACCAAAGAAAGGAGATCTGAGCAAATATGAGAACTGAGCGACAGAGGCGTCACATTACTTTCAGTACCAAGAAAGGTTTTCAACAGTGCTGCTAAACCGGATGAAAGACTCAATGGATGCCCAACTTCGAGATCAACAGGCTGGATTCCGTAGGGATTGGTCGTGCACAGGCCAAATCAATTGAATGGAACTCGTCACTATACATCAACTTCCTTGATTATGAGAAAGCATTTGACACAGTGGATACGAGAACATTATGGGATGTTCTACACTATGATGTACCTAAGAAAATCGTCAACGTCATACGGAATTCGTACGATGGACTACACTGCCAAGTCGTACATAGAGGACATCTAACAGACGCATTCCGAGTGAGGTTCGATTCCAGGCAAGGCTGCTTACTATCGCCTTTTCTTTTCATTCTGGTGGTTGACTGGACTATGAAGACTTCCACATCTGAGGGTAAGCACGGAATACGATGGACGGCTTTGGTGCAACTAGACGATTTGCACTTCGCAGATGATCTAGCTCTTCTATCCCATACACACAAACAAATGCAGGTAAAGACAAGTAGTATAGCAGCAGCCTCTTCATCAGTAGGCCTCAACATACACAAGGGACAAAGCAAGATCCTCAAATACAATACGGAGAACACCAACTCAACCACACTTGATGGAGAAACTCTTGAAGATATGGAATCTTTCACGTACCTGGGAAGGCATCATCGATGAACCGGGAGGATCTAATGCAGACGTAAAGGCAAGGATTGGCAATGCGAAGGCAGCATTCCTACAGTTAAAGAACATATGGAACTCAAAACAACTGTCAACCAATACCAAAGTGAGTATCTTCAATACGAAAGTCAAGATAGTTCTAATGTACAGAGCTGAAACTTGGAGAACTACTACAATCATCGTCAAAAAGGTACAAGTATTTCTAAGCAATTGTCTACGCAAGATACTCAGTGTCAATTGGCCAGATACCATCAGCACCAACCTACTATGGAAGAGAACAAACTAGCCGATGGAAGTGGATAGGACACATATTGAGCAAATAATCAAACTACATCACGAGGAAAGCGGTAACCATGAATCCAAAAGAGAAACGGCGAAGAGGAAGGCCAAAGAACACACTGCGCCAAGAATTGGTAGCAGACATGAAAGTGATGAATAGGAACTGGAAAGGATTTTTCAGGACAGAGTTGGATTATTTATTTATTTGAACACATAAATATTGGTACAAGAGGGCACCAAATATATATGCGAGTTGGATAGAGAATGCTGGTGAGCGACCTATACTTTTTCACGAGGGGTAATGAGCGTAAGTAATTAAAACGGTACACATTCTTCATGTCGCTTTACAATGTGAATTTTTCGACATCCTAGTTCATCTTATTTACGTTTTTATTCTTTCTATACCTTCCAGTTGTTATTTTCCCCCCACTATTATCACTTTTTATACTGATGTTTTCTACTAAGCTGTATATAATTTGTAAAATCTTTTTAAGGTATATCATATACTTACTCGTATCATCGGTTGGGTAAATTTATTTCTCAAACCATATATTCAGGAATCTATTTTAAGACACTTGTCAAACTGTTTGAAACTTTCAAATAAAAGGGTTTGCCTCGAAAATACTTTCTTAGTTTCATTTATTACATATCTGGTGTACAGCTTTAATTAATATAGCTTCAATTTGATTTGGTTTATAGGTAATGAATTTGGTCATCCTGAATGGTTGGATTTCCCAAGAGCTGGGAATAATAGTTCGTATCACTATGCTCGCCGTCAGTGGAACTTGGTGGATGATCCATTGTTGCGTTATAAATATCTAAACAACTTCGATAGAGCTATGCAACATTTAGAGGAGAAATATGGTTGGCTTGCAGCTCCACAGGTACGTTATAAATGTATATATTTGGTATATTATCATTTTTGTTCAACAAACGAACTTTATGTCACTAATTTTTGTTCTTTTTTGTTCTGATTGCAATTTTCCACCGAACCAATGGATCACTAGTTTTTCTATGAAGTCATAAAATATTAATAGATCATTTGATAAATATGTCTCACCGTTAGGTCAGTGAACGCTCATGCAATTACTAAAACACCATGTCATTAGTTAAAGAACCAAACTTCCAACCATCTGGGTACGTATTCGCACTATGTTCTATCTACTTCAGATTAGACCGCCGAATAACATTAAGTCTGACCATAAATTCTGGCTCGAAACCTTGTCCATAAACCTGTACTTTGTGACTGAGTTGAATCGTCATCTCATTTTATAAAAAGCTTTTTTTCAAAGATTTCCAAGTAAGCTTTAGACCTAGTTTACCGGCTCTCTCTTTATTACAGCTAACCATAGGCATCATAGAGCGGGGCATATATCTCCATCAGTTCAGGTTGCTAGATTACTACAACATAGTAAGATGAAATTACCAAGATAAAGCAATAGAAGTGATAATAATATCAGTGGTAGTAAGAAGCATTTAGCGAAGAGAATATTGTTCGAAAAGAAAGAATTAATTCTCTGAATAAAAAGTACAAAATAATTTTGAAGTTCAAGATTTAAAGGAAAACAAAGTGAATTCATCTTCGTCATCACCACGCGGTTTACTGATCTTAATAGTTCACTTTATTATTATTACCCAAACTTACGACCTTCACCAATGAGGTATCTTTAAGTTAGAAAAATCTGTGTTCTGTCACTAATATAAATGGTTCATAGGTCTTAAATAGATCTACAATTTATTATATACTCATAGTCTCTAATCCTAGTATTAACCAGGGTAATACTTAATAACAACTAACACTCAGATATTATATTTAATTTAACGAGCACCGTGCTCACCCGTTTTCATATCATGTCCATTAACTCCAGTAAAAGAGAAATTGGCGAGACTCTAATGTAAGGACGAGCTTTGAACGAATCTTACATGACCTTGACAATTATTAGTCAATCAGAAGACAGTTAGTGTAAAGTGAAAATATATTGCCCGACCGTTGTTGCTACCTTGACGTGGTGGTCGGGCTTGCCTATCGTGATGAAGCAACCGAGCTATACTGGCTGGAACAACTGTTCCTCAAGGTCCTACCATGTCAGACAGGTCGGTTGAAGAGCGGTAAGACTAAAAGCAACAAACCCAAGGTCCGAAGGCGAAGTCGTACTGCTGACTGTACAGAGGTGTGACAGCAGTAAGGTGTTTCCTTCAGACAACCAGCATGACAGCGATGCTGCCTTCCCACAAGGAGGGGTGGGGTTAGAAAAGGTCGACCCTAAAAATGCACACCTCACCTTACCTCACGGATCTCCGTCTCCGGCGGTAAGGCCCTTTGAAGAACGGAGCTAACACGTCGAAAACCTTCCACGAAAAGGCCGTGCGCGACCGGCCTCAAGCAGTTGTCCCTTGGGCACTGCGGTCACGCTCTCAGGTCACTGAGACCACCTCTAATCCAATTTCCTTTTCAGGTACCTCCAGAAGAACCCTTCCTCGGTGTGGGCAACCGGGAAGTGATAACCGCCCTCATACCTCTAACAGCACCCAAGATCACTGTATTCATAATCAACCTTCCTCTTCAATTCCTATTATTCCTCCTACATCGACTTTCAACCCTAAACTTCCTCCTTCGGCTTCCTCTTCAAGTGTCACCATAGCCAACGATTCTAGTGCTCAAAACTCTGTCCCAGGTCTACTGAAACCTCGCTCCAAACTACACATTGGAGCTTTCAACGTACGCACTCTATGTCAAATCGGTCAACAGGCTTCCTTGGCTAAAACCCTAGAGTCTCTTACCATTGATGTATGCTGTGTCTCTGAAACACGCATACAGGATCCCAGTGTGGTCATTCACTTGACCTCACCTCGGCAGAACGGAGAGCCAACGAGATACACCCTTCGTGTATCTGGTGACCCGATGGCCAGTTCTCGTGGACTGGCAGGTGTAGGCATAGCACTAAGCATGAGGGCCGAACAAGCACTGCTAGAGTGGATCCCCGTCAACAGTCGTCTATGTGCTGTTCGGCTGAACGGCTGCGTAAGAACTCGGAAGGATAGGGACACACGTCGTTGCCTTTTTGTCGTTTCTGTCTACGCTCCCACTGACTGCAGCTCAGATGAAGTGAAAGATGAATTTTACAGAAAGCTTTCTGAAATTCTTCAGAAAGCTAAACGCTCAGACATAGTACTCGTAGCAGGTGATTTTAATGCTCAGATAGGTAGCTTAAACCAAACAGAAAGGCATTTAGGTGGATATTTTAGTATTCCGACACAGCGAACAGATAATGGTGATCGTCTGCTGCAGCTATGCTCAGACAATCGTTTATTTTTAGCAAACACAAATTTTAAGCATAAGGAGAGACATCGTCTAACATGGCGACCCCCTACACCAAACCAACGATGGACTCAAATAGACCATATTGCCATCAGTCATCGTTGGAGAGGGTCGGTAGAAGATTGTCGCTCATTCTGGAGTACCTGCTTGGACTCCGACCATGCCCTAATATGGGCACGCATCTGCTTGCGCCTCACTGGACGCAAAAAAGCCACATTAAAAAGACCCGTTAGAACTGAGTTGAGTAACGAGAAAACCAAAAGTAGGTTCCAGGAACAACTGAGGTCACACTTAGGTAGTTGTGAAGACGAGGCTGACCCAGATGTTGCTTGGAAGGCCATACAATCAGCTGTGGAAACAGCAGTGACATCTATTAGTGACTTAAACCACAGAGTTGCAAGGAACCAGTGGATTTCTTCAAGGTCTGTCACACTGATGGATTCTCGCAAAGTCGTCCCATCAGGTTCTGAACATGATGAAGAGCGACAACAAATCAGATCTAGGTTAAGCAAAAGTCTAAGGAACGACCGTGAGCAGTGGTGGGTAACGAAAGCAAAAGAGATGGAAAAGGCGGCGACTATAGGAAACACAAGACAGCTTTACAGACTAATAAAAGAAACTGGAATTAATAAGTCAAGTGTAAGTGAGATTATTTCGGAAAAAGATAATACTCTCATCTGCTCCCAGTCCAGACGTTTAGAACGATGGGCGGAACATTTTAGAGAACAGTTCAGCTGGCCTTCAGCTACTCTACAACTACCCTCCATTCCCAGACAATGTGAATGGAACATTGAAGTAGGTCCCCCAACTCTTGCTGAAGTTCAAAAGGCTATATTTAATCTGAAACGAGGAAGGGCAGCTGGTCCAGATGGATTGGCTCCAGAGGTCTTTAAAGATGGTGGTCCAATTTTAGCGATTAGGTTGACTAATATTTTAGCTAAGATCTGGGAATTAGACTTTATCCCATATGACTGGTCGCAATCACTTATCGTCCCAATATATAAGAAAGGGTCAAAATCATCCTGTGACAACCACAGAGGGATTAGTTTAACAAACATAGTATCTAAAATACTGGCCTCGATAATTATCAGACGTCTAACTAAGACTCGTGAACTACAAACTCGAGAGAACCAAGCTGGCTTTAGACCTGGTCGTGGCTGCATCGACCACATATTCACCATTCGTCAGGTTCTAGAACACAGGCATACCTATCGGCGTCCGACGATGGTGGTCTTTCTTGACTTAAAAGCAGCGTTTGACTCTGTAGACCGCGAGACTCTGTGGCAGTGTCTGTCATTGAAAGGCGTACCTCAGAAGTACATAAACCTTGTGAAAGCTCTTTACTCGAACACTACTAGTCGAGTCAGGGCTTATGGCGAACTGTCATCTACTTTTGCAACTTCAAGTGGTGTCCGTCAAGGCTGTCCACTTTCTCCATTTTTGTTTAACTTCATCATTGACCTATTGATGGAAATAACACTCTCGTCGACTGAATTCTCGGGTATTGATCTCCTTCCAGGAGGTCCACTTATCGACTTAGAATACGCAGATGACATAGTCCTGTTTGGTGAAGACGCTGACAAAATGCAGAGTCTTCTGGTAGCACTAAGCAACAATGCCAGAATGTTTGGGATGCGCTTCTCTCCCTCTAAATGCAAGTTGTTGCTTCAGGACTGGTCTGCATCAACACCTAAACTAAGGATAGGGAGTGAAGTAGTCGAACGCGTTGACAACTTCACTTATCTTGGAAGTCTGATCAGCCCTAATGGGTTGGTGTCTGACGAAATCTCAGCACGGATTCGAAAAGCTCGCTTGGCTTTTGCCAACTTACGTCACCTTTGGCGAAGGCGAGATATCCGTCTATCAATAAAAGGACGAGTATACTGCGCGGCAGTCCGTTCTGTCTTACTTTACGGCAGCGAAACATGGCCTTTAAGAGTAGAAGACACCCGTAAGCTACAAGTATTTGACCACAGATGCCTCAGAAATATTGCTGGCATCTGCTGGGATCACCGGGTAAGTAATAGTGAGGTTAGACGCAGGGTATTAGGTAACGATGGTAAATCAGTTGATGAGGTTGTGAATCTTCATCGACTGAGATGGTTGGGCCACGTATTACGTATGCCTGAACACCGATTACCACGACGTGCAATGCTAACCGGTGTAGGGGATGGTTGGAAAAAAGTTAGGGGCGGCCAAACCAAAACGTGGCATCAGTGCTTGAAGTCACTAACTTCTAGTCTTAGCCATGTTGGTAGATGCAGACTACTTGGTTGGGGTCCGCGTGACTTTCGTAACCAATGGTTGGAGACTCTTGGTGACATGGCTGAGAATCGATCACAATGGCGTCGGTGTATACACTCCCTGTCTTCCCTTAAACTAAGAGATTAAAATCACTTCATATCTTTCTTTCTACGAACTAATTCTTCCTTCCTATACTATATCCTTATTGCAACCTTTGACCTAACCACTCCTATGAATCCGGTGTTCATCTTGTTGTGCTAATGAGGTATGGCAACCTGGACCGATGCACATATGTGCCTGGTCCTACGTTGTAGCTGACTGACTGACTGACTCATAGTCAGACAAATACAGTCATTTCAAGTTGTTTTACGTAATTCATTGTTTACAGGGACAAGATATGTTCGTTTCAATAGTCTCTTTTTACCATTTCGCTTTACTTAGAGTATGGTAACTGAAACCGATTTATACTTGTGCCACGTTCCATGTTGCTTTTGACTGACTGATTGACTAAGTTTAATACGAAAAGTAGGATTATATAAATCTCAATATATAAGCATGGTTATCGTTTACGAGACTTATCGTTCTATGATTTATATGTAGTTTGCTTCAAAAGTCTGCGTACTCGAATTTTATGAGTTTAAACCTATCTTATTTGTTTTTGAAAATGAAACAGTATTGTTGTCCGTCACACATTGTAATACATGTGACTGTATGATGATTGAACTGGGTTCGTTTTTATTTTATTTTTACGCATCATTTATCTATCCAGTGATCGTATTTATTTCCTGGTTTTTATTTCACTCATCAGGCCTATGTTAGTAGAAAAAATGAAGGCGATAAAGTTATTGCGTTTGAACGTGCTGGAGTTTTGTTTGCCTTTAACTTTCATCCTACTCAAAGTTTTACGGATTACAAAATTGGAGTCGATACACCTGGACAGTAAGTTTCATTTCAAATTTTCATGAGGTATTCAGGATCTCTCGCTATATTTATACTATGGTTGATGGATAATAGTGTATTTTCAATCCAATGATTTTGCCTGTGCGTTGGTATTATTTTAGAAAATTGTATTTTCATTCATGCATTCAAGGTACCATATTGTTTTGGATTCCGACCAAGAGGAATTTGGTGGCTTTAAACGAATCGACCAATCTGTTGATGTATTCACCCGCAACGAACCGTGGGATAATCGTCGAAATTGTGTTTTTTTATATCTGCCAAGTCGTACTTGTATGGCTTTAGCACTGCAATAAAAAAGATTTTCATCACTATACAATACTTAATTTAATTACAACAATATCCATTGAGTTGTTTTTTACTTAAATTGTATGTAGTGATTTGCTTCATTTTATCTCCATTTTGACTTTAATTTATAAATTGTAACTTAGTTACAAAGTGCAATTACATTTTTTTAACATGGATATCTTGGTATTATTTGATGTTATCTGCTGTGAAATTTCTACATTAGACTGTTTTACTACACTCATAAGTTCATCATAAAGATAGTGTAGAATAAGAGCATGATTTAACGTCTGTTTTTTGTTGACAGTGTATTTCTTATTTCGGGGAGTGGTTTGCATTTTAGTTTCATAGTTTATAATTTTCGGTATTAGAGCTGACTCATGTGTTAAGGTAGACAATTATTGGCCTCATCATGTTTCGTTTATCTCTTTACAGTCTTATAAATTGTTTTATTTGTCGTTAATTCTTTGAGCCTGACTCGTTACATTAAATGTTAGGGATTTTGCAACAGTATTCATTTCGTCTGATATCAGAATTTGCGATATTCAGTTTGCCATTTGTTATTTGACAATATTTAAATAAATAATAGTTCTGTAGTATTATTTTACACTTAGCTCTCCGATTATCAAGATTTTAGACAAGGCATTTAGTAGAGTTAACTATCAGCATTTTCAACAAATAGGTTTATTTCGTATGTAAATTTTAATTTGTAATTTGTAATGCTTAATCGAGGTGAAGTTTTACCATTTTCATTATATCACAAGGATATATACTTAACTTTAATGTCTTGTTCATTATGACACTAACAATAGTGATAATTTTTGACTTGTAACTATTGAGCCTGATAAAGAAGTTATCGAAAACGATCGTTTGCTCTAATATTCTTTTTTCTTATACATTTCAAGTCAACAGAGTGCTTGACAAATCAGATAGAAAATTCACATTTCTAATTAAATGTTCAGCACCTTATTGGTATTAGTTATTTTGACCTGGAACTAATCGGGGTTTTCAGCTTAAAAGCATGTGTTGTTTGTATGTTTCAGAATATAGACGAAAATGTTCTACTCAGTCGATACTGAAATTCATTTGTTACCACTAGTTCTGTTTTCTCCAAGAAAGGTCATTAACTCACCATTATTGATTCTATAGTTCTGAGAGTGATGATCAGTTTAATTCCATATACATGTATACCAAATGTACTGTTTTTCCTCGTAGTCAAAATTACATATAGATTAAGAACAGATCAGTGGAACAGTTTTCTACCTTAACCTTTAATGATGGCTGAGGCAAATACTAGGAAAAATCTAATCAATACTATCTGACCGTAATTTTAAGAATTATAGAAATTTTCACGAAGTTTCTTTTGTTGTAGTAAGTTAGGTTGAAGTACCGTAGGTGATCAAGAAATGCCATAGTTCGGTTGGTAAAAGTTCCTCAACATTAGAAAAGCAAATCTTTGATTCACCTTATAATTACGTCCAAAACGTCTTATGCATGCTTTCTGATAAGATTAAGGGTATCGGAGTCAGTACTACGGCTAAATCGTAATATTAGATTTCAGACGATTGTGATAGACAAGGACTGTTAGAGTGAATCCCCGTTAACAGTCGTTTATGTGCTGTTCGGCTAAACGGCTCCGTAAGAACTCGGAAGGATAGGGACACACGTCGTTGCCTTTTTGTCGTTTCTGCCTACGCTCCCACCGACTGCAGCTCAGATGAATTTTACAGAAAGCTAAACGCTCAGACATAGTACTCGCAGCAGGTGACTTCAATGCCCAGATAGGTAGTTTAAACCAAACAGAAAGGCATTTAAGTGGGTATTTTAGTATTCCGGCTCAGCAAACAGATAATGGTGATCGTCTGCTGCAACTGTGCTCAAACAATCGTTTATTTTTAGCAAACACAAATTTTAAGCATAGGGAGAGACATCGTTTAACATGGCGACCCCCTACACCAAACCAACGATGGACTCAAATAGACCATATTGCCATCAGTCATCGTTGGAGAGGGTCGGTAGAACATTGTCGCTCATCCTGGAGTACCTGCTTAGACTCCGACCACTCCCTAATACGGGCACGCATCTGCTTGCGCCTCACTGGACGCAAAAAAGACCCATTAAAACTGAATTGAGTAGCGAGAAAACCAAAAGTAGGTTCCAGGAACAACTGAGGTCACAATTAGGTAGTTCTGGAAACGAGGTTGACCCAGATGTTGCTTGGAAAGCTATACAAACAGCTGTGGAAACAGCAGTGATTTAAACCACAGGGTTACAAAAACCAATGGATTTCTTCAAAGTCTATCACACTGTTGGATTCTCGCAAACTCGTCCCATCAGGTTCTGAACATGATGAAGAGCGACAACAAATCAGATCTAGGTTAAGCAAAAGTCTAAGAAACGACCGTGAGCAGTGGTGGCCAACGAAAGCAAAAGAGATGGAAAAGGCGGCGACTATAGGGAACACAAGACAGCTTTACAGACTAATAAAAGAAACTGGGATTAATAAGTCAAGTGTAAGTGAGATTATATCGGAAAAAGACGATACACTCATCTGCTCCCAGTCCAGGCGTTTAGAACGATGAGCGGAACATTTCAGAGAACAGTTCAGCTGGCCTTCAGCTACTCTACAACTACCCTCCATTCCCAGACAATGTGAATGGAACATTGAAGTAGGTCCCCCAACTCTTGCTGAAGTTCAAAAGGCTATATTTAATCTGAAACGAGGAAGGGCAGCTGGTCCAAATGGATTGGCTCCAGAGGTCTTTAAAGATGGTGGTCCAATTTTAGCGATTAGGTTGACTAATATTTTAGCTAAAATCTGGGAGTTAGACGTTATTCCATCTAACTGGTCACAATCACTTATCGTCCCAATATATAAAAGAGGGTTAAAATCATCCTGTGAAAATCGTAGAGGGATTTTCTGACAAAAAATAGCATCTAAGATACTAGCGTCAATAATTATCGTTCTCTTAACTAAGACACGTGAACTGCAAACACGAGAAAACCAGACTGGCTTTAGACGTGGCCGTAGATGCATCGACCACATATTCACCATTCGTCAGGTTCTAGAACACAGGCATGCTTATCGGCGTCCAACAATGGTGGTCTTTCTTGACGTAAAAGCATCAGTTGACTCCGTAGACCCCGAGGTTCTGTGACAGTGTCTGTCATTGAAAGGCGTACCTCATAAGTACATAAACCTTGTGAAGGCTTTATACTCGAACTCTACCAGTCGGGTCAGAGCTTATGGTTAACTGTCTTCTGGTTTTGCAACCTCAAATGCTGTCCATCAAGGCTGTCCACTTTTCCATTTCCGTTTAACTTTATCATAGAACTGCTGCTAGAATTATGTTTTTGTCGACTGATCTCCTACCAGGAGGTTCACTTATTGACTTAGAATACGCAGATGACATAATCCTGTTTGGTGGAGACGCCGATAAAATGCAGAGCCTTTTGGTAGCACTGAGCAACAATGCCAGAATGTTTGGAATGCGCCTCATGTCTGCGTCAACACCTGAACTAAGGATAGGGAGTGAAGTAGTCGAACGCGTTGCCAACTTCACTTATCTTGGAAGTCTGATCAGCCCTAATGGGTTGGTGTCTGACGAAATCTCAGCACGGATTCGGAAAGCTCGCTTGGCGTTTGCCAACTTACGTCACCTTTGGCGAAGGCGAGATATCCGTCTATCAATAAAAGGACGAGTATACTGCGCGGCAGTTCGTTTTGTCTTACTTTACGTCAGCGAAACATGGCCTTTAAGAGTAGAAGACACCCGTAAGATACTAGTATTTGACCACAGATGCCTCAGAAATATTGCTGGCGTCTGCTAAGATCACCGGGTAAGTAATAGTGAGGTTAGACGCAGGGTATTAGGTAACGATGGTAAATCAGTTGATGAGGTTGTGAATATTCATCGCCTGAGATGGTTGGGCCACGTGTTACGTATGCCCGAACACCGATTACCACGACGTGCAATGCTAACCGGTGTTCGGTATGGTCGGAAGAAAGTTAGGGGCGGCCAAACCAAAACGTGGCATCAGTGCTTGAAGTCACCAATTTCTAGTCTGAGCCATGTTGGTAGATGCAGACTACTTGGTTGGGGTCCGCGTGACTATCGTAACCAATGGTTGGAGACTCTTGGTGACATGGCTGAGAATCGATCACAATGGCGTCGGTGTATACACTCTCTATCTTCCCTTAAACTAAGAGATTAAAATTGCTTCATATCTTTCTTTCTAAGAACTAATTCTTTCTTCCTGTAATATATCCTTATTGCAATCTTTCTTTTATATATTACCACCTCTGAATTAACTACTTATATGAATCCGGTTTCCATCTTGTTGTGTTAATGAGTTATGGCAACTTGGATCGATGCATATATGTGCCTGGTCCTACGTTGTAGCTGACTGATAGACAAGGAGTTCCGATGCAAGTACCGGAATTTCATGAAATGAATAAACACCTAAGACTTCTGTTTTCAAATTCCCTTACTTAACACAGTATACTTAGTGAGAGTATACTACTTTGTTTAATTCACTATGTATTTAAATCAATTCAGTGAAATCACAAATCAAATCTTTGACGGTGTTTCGTTTCAACCGTATAACTGCGACTTCAAAATGTAAACGGCCTATAAGAATATAATGATAGCTGAACCCGTTGGTTGTTTTGTCGAATTATAATCAACAACGGTTATAATATCACGTCATCGAGGTTAACTTACAATATTAATTCAGTACAAACCGCGATAAAGTTGATATCACCGTCTTACTATTATATCCAAATATTTTCAAAAATCATTGATAAAAGGTATCCAGACAACTATCTACTTATTTCAGTAGCGTAGAGAAATTTTATTTTTATAATCCTTGTCATTCACTAGAGAATCCTACTGTTGATTGGAAAAACAGACTGAGCATACGATTTTTCTAAAATCTCGAAACTGGGATCGATGGTCCGAATGTTTCTACAATCAAAATCCCTTGAACAGAATGAGAAATCTCATAGAAC